CAGAAAAGATGCGGACGACCCCTGGACAGGATTCAGCGAGAAGGAGCAAGGGTCGTAGGAGGGGCCATCCGAGCAGCGTCGGGTGCGGCCCTGGAAGTCGAGCTCTTCATAAAGCCCCATGCGTCTGCAGCTGGAGGAGCGGGCACATGACGCAGCACTGAACATCCTCACCGACAACCGGTTCCAGAACGAAGACGACAACAGCACCTCAGCATGAACCCCACCGATACGCGGAGACTCCCTCATCAGCCCACTAACGCGCCTCTACAACAGCCTCGAGACAACACTGGGAGAAGGAGCGGTCAGTCACCTGGAGTCGCGGATCCCATTCCCGGTAAAGCCGTAGTGGAGAGCGCCCACGGTCACTATCGCGGAAGATCGAGAAGCGGCGGAACGACTGCACACACACATTATCAGCGGAGCCGATCCACCACTAGCAGTCTACACTGACGGTAGCGGCATCCACGGGAAAGTGGGGGCTGCTGCATTGGCGCCGCCGATCCACACCCAAGAACTCGCTTATCTCGGCAAGGAAACGACTGCCACCGTGTATGCAGCCGAGCTTCTTGGCATTCTCATGGGCCTAAACCTAATCCTAACGTCAGACCGGCGCAGAGCAGCGATCTTCACGGACAACCAGGCAGCCCTGAGGGCTCTCCAAAACCCCAGAAGATCATCCGGCCAATCCATACTTCGGAGGATCATAGATGCTCTAGAGAGGGTCCGCTCCCAGGGCCTTCAGGTGGAATTCTACTGGATCCCGGCGCACCAAGGGATCGAAGGTAATGAATTGGCGGACAAGCTCGCAATGGAAGCGACGGGCTGCAGACAACAACGAGGCAGAAGAGGGAGGATGATCACAGTGGACACTGATGACACCGCAGCTACACCTGACTTCCTAAGACACCTGATATCCGCAGCCAAGTCGGAAATTCACCGCCAGACCCAGGTACAGTGGGAGCGGGACTGGGAGAACGAGTCATCGGGGCGAGCCACCTACGCGCTCACACCCGCACCAAGCCCCACGGTCCTCCATCTACACCACTCCTTACACAAGGCCCTCAGTTCAACCATCGTACAGATGCGCACCGGCAAGATTGGACTACGACAATTCCTATATGAAAGAAAGGTGCCAGAGATCACTGACACCCTATGCGAATGCGGTGGCGGAAATCAAACAGTACGGCACGTCCTATTAGCGTGCCCTAGGTTTAACAACCTCAGAACGGAAACATGGGAAAACGGGGAAGGAAGGGGGGAAAGGTTGGATCTCAAGGAGATCTTGACGACGCCTAAGCTAGCTAAGAAGGCTGCAAGATTTATGATCTTAACTAGACTCCTCGGGCAATATGGAGCAATTACGGAGGACAAAATACGATAAGGCATGCACTGAGTTCTTTCGGTTTATAGGACAAACAGGAGTCAGGGGGGCCCACTGGAGGACCTTGGCTACCATCTAGACTGTATTATATGATGTATATTAGCTATAGATACCCATCGTCTGCATAGCTGCGGAAAGCGGCTGGGCCGGACGTTAAATTGAATAGAAGAAGAAGAAGAAGAAGAAGAACAGGAGCAGTCCCAGGACAGGAGCAGTCCCAGAACAGGAGCAGTCCCAGGACAGGAGCAGTCCCAGAACAGAAGTAGTCCCAGAGCAGAAGTAGTCCCAGAGCAGAGGTAGTTTCAGAGCAGAAGTAGTCCCAGAACAGGAGCAGTCTCAGAACAGGCGTAGTCCCAGAACAGGAGCAACACAATTCCTGTATACCTTTGTCCTGAGAACATTTTCTAAGTTTACAAACCCAGAACGATATCTTTACACTGGAATTTCTCATGTTGTAGGCCTTTCCTTGGATGGTTCGTATATGCTTTAAGTTTTGTGAGAATAAACAGAATCGTGCTGGCACCTATTCTCAGCAGGCCTCTTAGCGGCTAAAGCTTAGCAGGTTGCTGTTTGGGCTCTCGATTCCTATTACAGACTAGCGTGATGTATCTCGTCGTACCTGCAATCAATACAGAAGCTGTAAGGCTGAGCCGTTTCTTGGCGCTGGGAAGTGCGTGTTTCAATTTATGCATTTCTGCAATTCAATTTTCTACATTTGTGTGCTTCCATCCTTTTATTCAGATTAACGAATTCCATCTCCCGCACGGTGTGATTTCGAATAGGACACTTCTAGATTTTTTTGACCTATTTCTTCACCTTCTGGCTTTTCTGTTGCAACAGATCTCAGCGTACTCGGCTTCAACCCGGGGCTACCAATCCCAGTCAATCCAGTCATTAATTTATGTTTATTTGTTTATTTTATCCTTTTCTTTCTTCTTTGTCGGTGTCGGTTTTTGGTTTTTTTCCTTCTTAACTTTCATGCTCTCTTTTAGCATAAATGATCGGATCGCGTGGCCGAGTGGAAAATTGAGACAAAATGGTGAGGGCCACGGTTTCGGATTGCAAATCATGGCCATGTATTCGGATCGCGTGGCCGGGTTCAATTGCGAATGAAAATGGTGTGGGCCAAGGTTTCAGATCGCAGATCGCGGCCCAAGCAGTGCTGCAGCAAAGCAACTAGTCACACTAGTGCACCTTTAAAAAGCAACTTTTGGCTTAATGAAGCACAACACTTGCTCATAGCTATAAATTGAGACCTCTCCCCATAATATCAAGTGACAATAATCAAATCCCAGATCCTTCATCTTCACTGGAATTAAATGCT